CAAGTCTAGCCATGCTCTCTTCTTTGCTTCAACTTTCATACATACCTCATCATCCCACCATAACGTATCATTGTTTCTTTCATTCGTCTTCTTACTAACACCACATACTTCGGTAGCTGCATTCACCAAACCTTTCTTAACATTATGCCACACATTCTCCAAGTCTAACTGATTCATACACAATTCATCCAAACGACTTATATTTTCTTTCAACCTACATTTGTACTTGTTTTCACACCTTCATCTTGTAACCTCTCTCTATAATACGCTGCAATTCAGCGGTAGACATAGATGTGCGATGCCGCCAACGCCTGAATAGAGCATTAATTCGGCATAAAGCCAAGTAATGATCTGTCCATACGTTGAACCCCCGGTAAACCCTTGTATTTACCACTGCGCCCCTCATTCTTTCATCCACAATCATAAAATCTATCATGCTTCTATCATCACCTCTTTTCCATGTATACATGTAAATCTTCTTATGACGAAAGAAAGTGTTCATCACAAAAACATTCTTTTCCACACATATGGTGAGGAGGCTTTAACCATTCTCATTTATACTTTCATCACCAAACTTTCCCAATATCCTTTTATAACCAAGCCTCTTCACACCAACCCTTCCATTAAAATCTCCTAACATAACATTATTTTCATTTCCCTTACATTTCAATAACATCATCCTTACCATCTCTCAAAACCACTCTTGGATATAAGTGGGCTTTGACATGTCTGGGGCGTAGACTCCTAGAACAAACAACTTCCTTAAGCCAACTTTCATTCGTATCCATAACAGTTTTGGGCTTACACACTCATACTCTTTCACACATTGACTCATTCTTTCTGAAAGGATGATACCGACACGCCAGATGCCCGCTCGGTCTCATTTACAGTACTGTACTACTTTAGCGTACTGGCGGTGTACATGCCATGAGTAGTGACATCCTTTCCGTTTCGTCTCATTTACACATAACACATCTATTCCTCTATCATTTATCACATCGTATGCTTCATCCATCTTATCATTCATTGCTCCACATACATTCAGTGCAGCCAGACGGACTTCCGCAATCCACTTAACCCTCCGGGAGACAGAACGTGATGGGTGGTGAACCTCGTCGTCTGTTTTCCTCCCGGAGATTGTTCGCACCTCTGCCCCACTAAAGAGGCACCGGGAACCCGGGGCCATTTCTTTCCTTTGTTGCCTCATGGTGCGACACTGGAAAGTGGTATATTTTACGCCGTTACCACGGCGAGGAGCCGAGTCTGTGCTTTCGGCTCGTCACTCATTTAGCACCACCCAGGGGACACGTGCAGGGTGGCCTAGGATTAGGTGGTCGAAGCCTATGGACGCGAGTGACTTATCCCCCCTATTATTAAGGTTAAATAATTTTTAAGTATTTCAATCCTGAATTGCCTTGTACATCCAAACATAAAAATAATGTCTTTATACATTAGCTTATCATAATTAGTGACCAAATCTATATTAGTTTTATATTCAAACAATAGTTCTGGTGGTGCTGGAGTAATGGTATACCTTTTATCCTTTATGTTTCTTATACTATAATTAACGTTTATGTCACTATCCCTTTCCCCATAGAAAATGCTTTCATTTAATTCTTCATTAGTATCTAAACTTATATCACTTGTATATTAACTAAAGTTTTTATAAATATTTTCATCTGAAGCTTCTGTATGATCATTTTCTTTCTTTTTATTCTTATTTATTGAAACTATCGCCTCTAGTGGATCAGTTGGCGGTTTCAGAATTTTACGTCGTTTACATTCTTAAATTATCTTATTCCTCCTTCATTTGTTTCAATTTATTTTTAACAACTTTTACTGATTTTATTGATTGTTTTTATATCTACATCCATTTTAAAGTATGAGAATATTATACGCTTCTAACATAAACATTTTTTATGTCGACCCATAAAAAAATAATTACGATGAGATATCGGAGACCTAAAAGTAAGTAAAGTAATAGTAATAAAATAGTAATAGACGGGTAGAATTGGGTTGAAATTGCTGTCTAAATTTCTAAATCTAAAATAGTATGTTGAAAATTAGATTACAGCATTCTGCGGTGACGTAGATTGAGTAGCATTTTTGTCGCCTTATACATCGTTATTATAAATTCTTTGCACCATTGCTGGTGATCCTCAAGTTACCATTGAGATACCTTGAGGATCACCAGTTGATTAGTGACCGCTAATACGGTTTTCGCCATGGTCGGTCAGCTGGTGATCTTCTGGCCTACCTAACTCACAGATGGGCGGAGGCAGTAGAGTCCAAGGGATTGGCCGTTAGTTTGGACATTGCGAAGGCCTTTGATCGTGTTTGGCACAAAGCGCTTCTTTCGAAGCTCCCTTCCTATGGGCTTCCCGAGAAATTGTGCGATTGGATCACCAGCTTTCTTGCAGATCGGAGCATCAAGGTCGTTATAGACGTTGCAAGCTCCGATTGCAAGCCTATTAATGCTGGTGTTCCACAAGGCTGCGTGCTATCGCCAACGCTGTTTCATCAATGATATGTTGCAAACCCGTAACATTAATTGCTATGCAGATGACAGCATTGGTGATGCTCTTTACACCGGCCGAGCCAATATTTCTCGGGAAAACGTCTCCGAGTTCCGGGACAAACTTGTGTCTGAAGTCGAGTCTTTGCTGAACAGAGTCTCGGATTGGGGGCGACTAAATCTAGTCCAGTTTAACCCTCAGAAAACACAAGTTTGCGCATTAACCGCTAAAAAGAACCCCTTTGTCGTGTCTCCTCAGTTTCAAGGTGCTCCCCTTGTTGCCTCAGCCCGTATCGGAATCCTCGGCGTCGACATATCGAGGGACGAGGCAGTTTCTTGGTCACTTGGAAGAGAAGGCCAAATTAGCCTCTAAAAAGCTTGGCGTGCTCAGTAGAGTGGCACACCGCCTGCAACTTTACAAGGCGCAGGTTCGGCCGCACACGGAATACTGTTACCATCTCGGGGCTGGGGCTCCCCAGTACCAGCTCCTTCCACTAGACCGCATTCAGCGCAGAGCGACTCAAATCGTCAACGACCGAGTGCTTTCCGATTCGCTCGATTCGCTGGCACTGCGAAGAGATGTTGCATCTCTTTGCATTTTCTTTCGCATATACCATGAAGAGTGCTCTGAGGAATTGTTCGGATTAATCCCAGCTGCCAAATTTCGTGAACGCACTTCGTGGCAAACTTCCCGATACCATCCACACCATCTGGATGCTTGGTGGTCCATCACTGTACGTTTGAAAAGGAGTTTTCTTCCGCGTACAACCTCTCTGTGGAATAGTTTACCACCGGCGATTTTTCCGGACCGATACGACCTGGAGACCTTCAAGAAAAGAGCTTACTCCTTTCTAAAGGGCCGGCAACGCACCTGCAATTCCCCTGGGGTTGCGGTTGATAATGGGCGGCGGTAGTCACTTAACATCAGGTGAGCCGCATGCTCGTTTGCCTCCTCTTCTATTAAAAAAAACCATTACGTACGAATTTTAGTACCAGAGAATTAAATGAGCACGTTACGAACATCCACTCTGCAGTGGCGGTGTAAGAATATCCACTACCCCACATCATCACGTGGGATGTCGTAAGAGGCGACAGAGAGAAACAAATCAATCGATGGGCACCAGCGTCTTCCTAATAACGACTAAACATAAAAAAATGCGGTTGCCAACCCGCTTGCCAAGCATCCTTCCAATGTTGAAAAACAGCTTAATCCTTTATAAAAGGCCGGCAACGCACCTGCCATTCCACTGTGTTGCGGTTGTTCATGAACGGCGGTAGTTATTTACCATCATGTTGGTGAGCAGCATGCTCGTTTGCTCTCTCTTCTATAAAAAAAATAAGGAGGGATGTTAATATACTCTTACTCTGTAAAGTAAATTGTGTAATAAGTTGTTGTAACGTTGCACGTACATGTATGCATAATTATAATTAAACGGTTTATTAAAATTAAATAAACATTTAATAAACTAAATAAAAATAAAATAGAAGTTATTAACAAAAATAATTCTATAATTAACTTAGGTATCCTATTAATAAAACAATCAGTAAACTAAAAGAACGAATTAAATAATAAATCAAATATTAAAATATTGTATTTCGAACAAACACTCTGACGCTTCGTTACTCTATGCGCTTTGCAACTCTCGCGTCAGAGTTTTACCCGGCCGGTATTATTCCACGGCGTCGCGCTCCCGACCATTCTCCGCCCGAGCGCCCTGGGAGGCGCACACTACCACTGCAGCCGCGTTCACAAGCTCTGCTTTGTGTCCTCGTACGCGCTTGCAAATTTTAATCCCATTTTGGAAAAAGTTTAAAATAATATAATAATTCCGGCACTGTGGCCGTATAGTTTTTTCGTTAATTCTCGTCACCGAGACCTCCGTATCGTCTTGCACCCCGTAAGGGGTGCAATTTTACGACTACAACCGTGGCGGTCGTCCTTCTTAAGAGGGCCTAGGCCGCCCCCTCGACGCCGCCACCGCCACAGCCAGCTGCCCACGGCGCTCCCCGTGAACAGTCCAACCCCCCGGCCCTGCTCGACCACCTCGCGGCCACATAGGGGAGTACCTGACCCTGCCAGTGAAGCCAGACGGGCATTTTTTTTTAAATTATCGGAACCACGCCCACGACCTTTTCTTTTACCAATATATAATTTTTTTTATGACTGGTTGTTGCCTTATTTTAAATACCTACCTAAATAATTGTAGCATCGTAATTTTATTTATTTTACAAATTTGAAATTGTCTTCACATGACTATAAAAGTTAATAAGTGATATAAATACGAGTAGTATTAATGTTTCATAGATTTCTTCGAGTGCAGATATTTCACCTGATTCCCAGGTTTGAATACGGATTTTTTTATTAAGTTCCAGCAATTAACATTTTATACAGTCCCTTATATACAAGAACAAAATAAACGGCAACAGACAAAAATATTTAAATAATTTATTTTTCATTTAATATTTTTTATAAAGATTTTACAGACTATTCTAAGCTTCTCCACTCTAAAATTACCTCACACTCAACATCGTAATTATTTATGTTATTTAATTGTAGTGTAACCACTTCCACATCATCAGGACACATCGACTCATCAAATTCTGAGACTTCATCGTAATATTCAACCGAGCTTAACAGATACTCACTACGTCTGTTTTTACTCGATTTATCCTCTCTATCTATATCGTCGGATAATAAAACTCTTTTTAAATTATCAGTTGTTGCAGTGTTAATTCTTCTGGAGGCTTCATCGTCGGAGACATTAAAAAATTGAGTGAAATTTTCATTCTGTGAGGTAGCTTTTCCACTATTATGGTTTTCGCTAACTATCTTATGTCCATTCACATTATTTGTAAGACATGGATCATTAATCATATCTTCTTTATTAACAACCAACGCATCAGACGATACAAATTCTACAAAGGCAGCATCGTCTCTTAATTCTTTCTTATATTTATCAACTCTTTCATTAAAAGACTCCTGTTTACATTTGTTTTTCCTTAAGCTTGTTTCTGTATTTACTAAATGTTCAACGTGCCATTCCTCGTCGTTTAACTCTTCGTCGAATCTTCTATTTGATCTGCGAAATTTAAAATCTTCTGCGTCTTTTTTGTTTACATTTTTATCATTCTGTTTTTCTTCGGACGCAACAGCAGAAATATGATGGAAATAATTTGATATTTGAATTAAAATATAGACTAATATATAAATATTCATTTCCTCTTTCTCTTGGCACTTTATTTTTCAATCACAATAAAAAAACGTAGCTAAGTTTGATTAGTTCAAGTGTTACGGCTTACGGTCTATAGAGCGTAACCCAAACAAATTTTGATTGAGTACTGTTCTAGTAATCCATATTATGCTTTATCATGTTAATAAACTCTTACTCTGTAAAGTAAATTGTGTAATAAGTTGTAGCATCGTAATTTTATTTATTTTACAAATTTGAAATTGTCTTCACATGTCTATAAAAGTTAATAAGTGATATAAATACGAGTAGTATTGATGTTTCATAGATTTCTTCGAGTGCAGATATTTGACCTGATTCCCAGGTTTGAATACGGATAACGTTTTACTTTCTAAGAATATCTAGATCCATCTATCCATCCACCATAGCCTAAAAAGTCCACTCCTGAACATAGACCTTACCCAGATTGCCAGGCTTTCTTAATAGTTGTTATCAGGAACATGCTGCTGTCCATTTTGTTGTTCTCCTGGTCTCCTTGGCGGCAGAAATAAGGACTCCCAGGCAGAAAAATAGTCATATCACCATTAATACTGGAACACCATATTTGATTCCTATCATTTTAGTCGGAGCCAAAAATCATGGCATTATTACTGGGAATACTACTCAAAATATTTTGTAGAACTGAGAGAGACTGGTCAACCTACGCTCGTTCTTATACTTAAAGCTAAACAAACTTCGAAACCCAAAAGGTTACCAATGGACTTCTTGACACTTCTTTCTACTGAGTCCAAAACTGCTAGTTAATATTTAACAGCATAGCAGCACCCTTATTAGGCAGCAGTACTCCACAGGCGACCATACCTTAAAGATAAAATATTTCAGGGTCATAAGCTTTCCTGAATTAAAATAGACTCTAAGAAACTATAAGCATTTGGTGTTTTTCGAAGATAAAATGTGAGCCAAGGTTTACAGGCACAGCGTTAATGACAACAATATCAAAATAAAGAAATTTAAATAAAGCAAATATAAAGCTTGTAAATTTAATAAGATCAAATCAAGTATTGTTACTTATGTAACAATACTTGATTTGATCTTCTTGGGTTCTTTTTTGTGTCGATGGGCTGCAATTCTTTGTCATTTTAACGACTTATAAAGGACTTCTTCAATCTCATTATTTAGAAAAAATATTCTAATTGTTAAATGGTATTAAGTAGTAACTATTAACGATAATAACTGAAGCCCGATTTAACAAGTGACGAATTAATGTTATTTCAATCCAGAAAGCATCATGAGTTTAGTTCAATTAAAGTGAATACACGAAACCACGCATCACAGGGCATCATTGACAGATCGTTATCTACGCCGCGCTAACTAATCCATTCATCCATGGCTACCAACATAACTACCCTTCAAACGTTGGAAAATACTTCAATTAGGCTCGGCTCGCACACCCCTTGCAAGATCAAAACAGCCCAATTACCTCACAGCACGACCCCTTTAATAAACCCTCGTTTGCTCAAATCTGAAATAAAGACGATGATAAATAATAACAAATTTGCGAAGTGAAAAGTCCCAAAATTAGCATGTCGTTTGAATAAATTGACAGATAATGCGACTTCGAAACCCTGCCATATTTGTATTCTGAACAATAAAGTAATACAGCGCTGGAAAGCACAGAAACGTTTATCATGACTTTATATTATGTACATGTTCCGAAACAGCGCTTCAGTGGCTGGAGGGTTGTCGCAAATGTTAACAAGTCGCTAAGAGATGCAAATTGACAGCGGTTGGCAGCGGTGATTCGAAATGGCGCCAAGTCATTTGCATAATTTTATACGAATTGAAATGTATACATTTTGAGAATTGACAGAAATGAAAAGCATTTTGAACTCTGGAAGTATTTAATAGATCTACACTTCAAATCTGGTGATATTACTTAATTTTAATAAATAATTAAATACATTTTAAATTTCCAAAAAAAGAAAATACTATACATTCTTAAAAGCCTATATATAACTGACAATCTACAAATCTACATGTGTTTATATCTAAAACAATTTTTCTTGTACAGACTTACAATTATATCTTTTAAAACTAAATCTTAAAATTTAGGTATTGCACAGTTAATGCTTAAACAATTAGCTAGTATTATCGGTCTTATACATAAAAAATCTCCAATATTATACCTAACATTATTATTAAATTATTATAATATGATATTTATTTATAAAGTGACCGACTTCGCGAAAAGACAATCATTAGGGTTAAATATTTCTTCATTTATTTTATACAAACATTGTTATAGCTACCCCAAGATCATAAAGGTCAAATAAGATCATCTAAGACATGCGCGCGGTTTTAGTTTTAACTTTATTTTTTAGGTAATCATCACGGAATTTTTGTTTTGAAGAAATTGTACACAACATTCAGCAGAACCAAACGAAATGGTGTACAGAGTTTTTCTGGAGAGTGCGCGTTTTTAATAATTCATTTAATTAACACTGGTCAAGCGTTTTCCCAGATGCATACAAAATCTCAAAATATAGGAAGCTATTTTGATTTTACATTGATTTAAATTCAATACGTAACAATTCGGCATTTTGTGCGATTGTAGGCAGCTAGACTAATTTAGTCGTTAGGCCTTTCATGCGTAAGCATCATATTAATCTGTAGGCCTTTCTAGGGAGTTTTACGGAGTACGAGTATAACGGTGGAAATCTACACTTGATCATTTACTCATTGTTTCTACTTAACATTATTAAATTACATATTTTCATAAATAAGGCCGTATATCATCATCATTATCATTACAGCCCTTCACAAGTCCACTGCTGAACATAGGCCTCCCCCAATGTATGCCACAAAGTACGGTCCTGAGCCACCTGCATCCATCGACTTCCTGCATATCTTACCAGGTCGTCACTCCATCTAGTGGGGGGTCGCCCTACACTACGCCTACCGGTACGAGGCTGCCACTCGAGAACCTTTCTTCCCCATCGGTTATCGGTTCTTCGAGCTATATGGCCGGCCCATTGCCACTTCAGCTTACTAATCCGTTGGGCTATGTCGGTACCGACAAGACCGTATATAATTTACTATAAATTAGATGTGAATAAATGAGGTGTATTAACTGTAGACTTTTATATATTACGGTATTACATATAGACGTTATATATATATATATATATATATATATATGGGGGGATGAGTCGCTCGCGTCCGTAGGCTTCGACCACCTAACCTTAGGCCCACCCTACACGTGTCCCCCGGGTGGTGCTAAACGAGCGACAAAGCCGATAAAATAGACTCGGCTCCTCGCCGTATGGTAGCGGCGTAAAATCTACCACCAACCCTTGTTCGCACCATGACTCAAGAAATAAAAGAAATGGCCCCGAGTTCCCGGCGCCCTTTAAATGGGGCAGGGGTGCGAAGAATCTCCGGGAGAAAAACCGGCGACGAGGTTCGCCACCCGTCACGTTCTGTCTCCCGGAGGGGCGAAAAGTGGATTGCGGAAACCCGTCTGGCTACGCTGAATGTATGTGGAGGAATTAATGATAAGATGGATGAAGTATGCGAAATGATGAATGACAGAGGAATAGATGTGTTATGTGTGAATGAGACGAAACGAAAGGGAAAGGATGCCACTGTACATGGCACGTATACCGCATATTGGTCTGGTGTAGGCGAGACCGAACGGGCATGCCAGGGAGTCGGTTTCATCCTTTCAGAAAGAATGGGTCAATGTGTGAAAGAGTATGAATGTGTAAGCCCAAGACTGCTATGGATACGAATGAAAGTGGGCTTAAAAAAACTGTTCCTGCTAGGGGTGTACGCCCCAGACATGTCTAAGCCCACTTACATCCGAGAGCAGTTTTGGGACATGGTAAGGATGGTGTTGACAAAATGTAAGGAAAATGAAAATATTATTATGTTAGGAGACTTTAATGGAAGGGTTGGGGTGAAGAGGTCTGGTTATGAAAGGATATTGGGAACGTTTGGTGATGAAAGTATAAATGAGAATGGTGAAGACCTCCTCACCGTATGTGCGGAAAAGAATATTTTTGTGACGAATACTTTTTTTCGTCATAAGAAGATTCACATGTATACATGGGAAAGAGGTGATGATAGAAGCATGATAGATTTCGTAATTGTGGATGAAAGAATGAGGAGCGCAGTCGTAGATACAAGGGTTTACCGGGGGGTCCAACGTAGGGACGGATCATTACTTGGTCTTATGTCGAATTAATGGTCTTTTCAAGCGTTGGCGGCATCGGACATCTGTATCTACCACTGCGTTACAGCGTATAAGAATAGAGAAGTTACAAGATGAAGATGTGATAGAGAAGTATAAATGTAGACTGAGAGAAAATATTAGATGTTTGAATGAGTTGTGTATGAATGATTTAGACTTGAATACTGTGTGGGATAATATTAAGAAAGGTTTGGTGGATACCGCCACCGAAGTATGCGGTGTAAGTAAGAGAACAAATGAAAGGAAAAGTAATACGTTATGGTGGGATGATGAGGTACGGGTGGAAGTTGAATCAAAGAAGAAAGCATGGTTAGATTTACTACCAACCAAAGCTGATAATTCTTCTGGTATGAATGATGAGATTGAAAGAAAAAAGGCAGAATTTAGACGTCTAAATAAGAGAGTAAAAGAAGTTGTTGAAAGGAAAAAGAAATAAAGAAGGGATAAGAATGATAGAAGGATATCTGATAATTTCCAGGCTAACATAAAAATGTTCTGGAAACTCGTAAGAACTGCCAGGGGAGATACAAAACAGCCTATAATAAATGCTATAAGAGACGAGAATGGATGTATTCTGAATGATGAAGTTTCGAATTTAAACAGATGGAAGGAATACTTTGAAAGCGTGTTTATGAGTGAAGAGTCGTATGAATTAAATAAACTAGAAATTCCGAAAGAAGTGGAAAGGGGTATGGAGATAAGTGTAGATGAAATAATGAAAGCAATGAAAAGCATGAAAGCAGGTAAGGCATCTGGATATGATAGAGTATCACTCGA